ATGCTGGACTGCATGAATCACAAGCTGGAATCAAGATTGCTGAGAGATATATCAACAGTCCCAGGTATGCACATGACACCACCACAAAGGCAGAAAGTGGAGAGGAACTAAAGAGCCTCTAGATGAAGGTGAAAGCGTTGAGTGAAAAAGCTGGTTTAAAACTCAACATTCAAAAAACTAAGATCATGACATCTGGTGCCATCACTTCATGGCAAATAGATGGGGAAACAATGGCAACAGTGAGAAATTTTATTTTCTTGGGCTCCAAAATCACTGCTGATGGTGACTGTAGCCATGAAATTAAAAGACACTTGCTCCTTGGAAGAAAAGCTATGACCAACCTAGACAGTGTATTAAAAGGAAGAAATATACTTTGCCAACAAAGGTCCATATAGTCAAAGGTATGGTTTTTCCAGCATTCATGTGTGGACATGAAAGCTGGATTGTGAAGAAGGCTGAGCATCAAAAAATTGATGCTTTTGAATTATGGTGCTAAAGAGACTCTTGAGAGTCCCCTGGACTGCAAGGAGATCCAACCAGTCCATCCTAAAGGCAGTCAGTCCTGAATGTTCACTGGGAGGACTGACGCTGCAGCTGAGGCTCCCATACCTTGGCCCCTGATGCCAAGAGCTGACTCACTGGGAAAGTCCCTGATGCTGGGAGGGATTGAGGGCAGGAGGGGAAGGGGGCGACAGAGGATGAGATGGCTGGATGGCATCACCGACTCAACGAACATGAGTTTGAGCAAACTCCTGGAGATAGTAAAAGACAGAGGAGCCTGGTGTGCTGCAGTCCATGGGACCACAGAGAATCAGACAGGACTTAGTAAATGAACAACTGCAAAAAGATACAGGAACAGATATGAACAAATGGAAAGGTATCCCTTTTTTTGAATAAGATCCCAGATGATAAATTAAGTCAGGTGGGAAGTTCATTTGTATCTAACGCAATCCCTATAAAAAACTAATGTGCATTTTTTTCTGGGACAAGCTAAGTTGACACTCAAGTTCAAACATAAGAATAGTCAGGAAGTCCTTGAGAAAGACCTAGAGAAGGCAGTAAGCCCACTGTAACAAACACACTAAATGTTTCCATGGTTAAAGAGCAGGTGTGAACGCATCAAGACAGCCAGAGGGGGCAGAGGAGAAGACAAGAAACGCAGGGTCCACACAAGTGCCAGAAGTGCCTGCGCACAAGAGCTGGTGTCTTGAGTCCCGGGGATAGGGGTGGGGGGAGGATGGGCTTCCAGGAACAGTGTCGGGACAGTTCCACATACCACACAGGAGGACTCACATCAAAATTCTAATTATAAAAAGACGATTTCCAACAAGTATGAGAAAACACTGATGAATTCCTTCAGAATTCATCTAGCTGTGTTTAACTAGGATTCAAAAATCTAGACTCAATGAAAAAACCTATAAATTTGATTACACTTTTAAAAAAAACCCAACTTTTGTATGGGAGGAAAAACACTATAGGCAAAATCAGGGTAAGAAAACAGAAAAATTATTCCCAATATAAATCAAAATTAAGGGCTGATGCCACTAATACAATGGGCTAGTACACAGGAACTCTTTAAACCAAGGGCAAAAAAGACCAGGATTCAGAGAGAAAAACAAGCAAAAGACAATTCAGAAAAACAGGAATATAAAACCAGCCCTTCAACAAGTGAAAATATATTCAGTTTCACTCCTACTTAGGGACATGCAAATTCCAACTGCTGTGAGATGTCACTTTCACACCCATCAGACTCAAAACTCCAAAGCTGGTGATACATTCTGTTGGCAAGGCTGTAGGGAAGCAAGGCTCTCATCTGCGGCGGGGAGATGATGAAATCTGGCAGTAACAGTCTGTGGACCCTGCAATCCACATGTAGGCAGTAACCCTGAAAATACACCTCCAACACGCAGAAACACAGATGCAAAACAACATATATGAAGCGTTATTTGTGACTGTGAGATATTAGAAATGACCCAAATACTCATATAGAAAATTGGAAGAAAAAACTAGAGTACACCCACTAAATGGAGTGCTATGTAATTTAAAAAGAAAAAAAAACGACTCTATGAACCAATAAGCAGTGATTTCCATGATGTGCTTTAAAAGTGAAGTAAACAAAACATGAATTTACACAGAACATCTTTTGTGTACCAAAGGAGAAGTGTGGATATACAAACATACAGGCTAACTTTTGCGCAAAGACACAGAATTGTAACAGAAACCTCACGGACAGGTTACCGACAAGAGGTGAGTGGGAGCGACGCCAAGAGGGGGACAGGTGCCCTGCTGCTGCGTTACTCAGTGGTGTCTGACTCCGCGGCCCCATGGGCTGTGGCACCCCAGGCTCTCCTGCCCTTCACTGCCTCCCCAAGTCTGAGCATGCCTTTTAACACATCTGTTTTACCGACAAGAGGTGAGTGGGAGCGACGCCAAGAGGGGGACAGGTGCCCTGCTGCTGCGTTACTCAGTGGTGTCTGACTCCGCGGCCCCATGGGCTGTGGCACCCCAGGCTCTCCTGCCCTTCACTGCCTCCCCAAGTCTGAGCATGCCTTTTAACACATCTGTTTTACCGACAAGAGGTGAGTGGGAGCGACGCCAAGAGGGGGACAGGTGCCCTGCTGCTGCGTTACTCAGTGGTGTCTGACTCCGCGGCCCCATGGACTGTGGCACCCCAGGCTCTCCTGCCCTTCACTGCCTCCCCAAGTCTGAGCATGCCTTTTAACACATCTGTTTTACCGACAAGAGGTGAGTGGGAGCGACGCCAAGAGGGGGACAGGTGCCCTGCTGCTGCGTTACTCAGTGGTGTCTGACTCCGCGGCCCCATGGACTGTGGCACCCCAGGCTCTCCTGCCCTTCACTGCCTCCCCAAGTCTGAGCATGCCTTTTAACACATCTGTTTTTTCTCTTTTTGGCTGCACCGTGGCACGCAGGACCTTTGCTCCCCTGTGTGAGATTGAACATACGCCTCCTGCAGTGGAAGCACAGAGTCTTAAGCACTGGACCGCCAGGGAAGTTCCTAATGTAATTTTCATCTCTAGAACACTGTTAATGATTTTATACATTCAAAAGAAAAATTAAATCGATGAGGATGAATAAAAACATCCTTTAAAAAAAAAACGAACCTAACTGTATTTCAAATATAATTGCCATACAGAAGGAAAAAACAACTCCAATCCAAGTAAATTCTGAACACGGTACACTGACTAAATCAAACTAATGGAACAAAGAGAATGGGAAGAGCATCTGGACCCACTGGAATGTGTCGGTTTGCTTGTGGTGTGGCAGCAGCAGCAGCCCACAGGCTCAGGCACATGAGTAAAGGCTTGCTGGAGCCAGGGAGACACAGAACAGGAGCAGCAGAGAGAAACCTGCGGTGCTGGAATGAGTCAGAGGTGTCAGCATGAGCTCATGTTCTGACACACACGCGTGTACACACATAAATCCATAGACACAGACACACAAGCATGAGCATACATGTATGTACAAACGTGTACACACACATACATGTACATACACTCACCACTAAGAGGATCCAGGACTTCCGGGAAAAACAGCTTGTCCAGGGTGTGGGAGAGGGAGAACCCAAAATGAACCCAGAGCAACCGGAAAGTGAGCTGTCACCTTAACCACACGACCAAAACCAACATCAGCAACAAAGGGACAAAGTGGCATCTCGCGGCTGTTGACCCGCTCACTCGGAGGGCGGAGCGTCACTTCCGGGAAGCCCGACACCAGCGCGTGACCTGCAGGACATACCCTGCAGACACACAGCCACGGACAGACTGACAGCAAGCAGCACCCGCGAGGAAGTGTGAGTGCCTCTCCTGGGATCGGATGACGGAGGCTTTAAAACAGATGTGACTAAAGATAAACAGGGACATCCTGCAGTGAGAAGGGTCAACACATCAGGAAGACACACAACCACGAGCATACATACACACACCTAACCAGCCCCCAGGTCTCTGAGACAAAACCTGAGAGAAATGAGGGAGGAAACAGACATAAATCAGCAACGATAGTTGAAGCTACTGTAGTCCAGTTAAAACAAGAACAGCACTCAAGACACTGACTCCCCACTTTCAGAAATGAACGACCAGATAGATCATCAAGAACAGACGGTGAGCCCTCCCCCGACGGGAACAGAGCACGCGGGCCTCCCCGGACGGACCACAACCAGGCCACGATGAGTCCCAGTAACCCTAAAACTCGAATCAGTAACAGAAATTCAGGATGTTCTCAAAAATGTGGAAATTAAACAGCACACTCCAAGGTAACCAATGAGTCAAAGAAGAAATGACAAAGAAATTGGAAAATACTTTTTGAGATGAATGAAAATAAAAATACAACATACCAAACCTCATGGGACACAGAGCAAGCAATGTTCAGAAGGCAACCTGTCATTGTAAAGCGTACACTACGAGAGAAGAGAGGGCAGAGGACCGCCGGGGCGTCCACAGGCCAAAGGGCAGCGACCCGGCAGGAGCAGAGCCAGGGGCTCAGACGAGCAAGCCTGCAGGCAGCCACCGCGGGCCAGAGACGGTGGGGAACGCGTGGGGGTGCGGCCGCCTGCTCCTACCAAGGAGGGGACAGGAGCCCGGTGCTGGCGAGGATTGAGGAGCAAGAGCAGGGTGGGGGTTCAAAAAAAGAAAACGTGAGGGACCCCTGGTGAGAGGAAGGCCAGGGCCGCCTGACGGTTCGGGCCCTGCTGGGTTCTGCCCAGAGCAGGAGGAAGAACCGGGGCAGCAGCTGAAGCGTGTCTGGAACGCAGGCCGCTGAGCCAGAAGTGTCCGCAGTGGTGACCGTCCCGCAGGCCCCGGTGGGGCTGGGGGTCGCTGGGTGCAGAGGCACCCAGATAACGGAGCCGAGCAGGTGAGGACAGTGGGTACAGAGCAGTGGCTGCAGCTGAGGCTCGGGAGTCACCCTGACGGCAAGGCCGGGTGAGCCAGGACGTGTCAGGACAGAGAAGGAGCCCGGTGGGCATGGGTGGGGAAACCGCTCACCTGCTGCCGTCTGGTAGTTGATGATCGTAAAGCCGCCGTGCATGCAGGCCGCTAGGAGCAGGTCACGGTGGAACGGGTGCCACTTGAGCCTCCACACCCCGCCCTGCACAGGCACGTCAGCCAGTGGCCGCCACAGACTCCGCGTGTCCCAGAGGAGAACATGCTCGTCATAGCTGCAACCCACGAATCTCAAGCAGTGTGCGGGAAAACGGGGCTCCGGGGGCAGGGTACCCCTCCCAGGAGACCCGGACCCGCCCCTCCAGGATGCAGTCCCTCCCTGAGCCCCCGACACCCACACTCTGGTTCAAAGAGTAGCCCGGTCTGACGCCACAGTGGCCGCAGGGGGAAGTGGCGCCACGGCTGGGACTCACCTTCCCGTGGCCAACACGTTCTCACGGTGGGGGCTGCTCTGGATGCTGCACACGCCCATGGAGTGTCTGCGGGGGCAGGGGGCTGAGCAGGCGCCCCGCAGCTCCCCAACAGAAGCCGGGGGCGGGGCGGGGCGCGGCAGCGCGGGAGGGCTGGCCCCATGAGGACTCACCTGCGGCTGCTGAAGGCGGCTGTGCCAGGTGTCCTGGTGTCCCAGCCCTTCAGGAGGCCATCGTCCCCACCTGCATGGAAACAGAGCCCATCCCCCCTGGTCAGGAGGCACGCTGTGGATGCGCACCGGCCATTTCTCGGGCACAGTCACGCCCGTGAGGACGTTTCCACACGGGCAGGCTGCCACAGGCAGGCCAGCCCCAGAGGCAGCCACCTGTGCGCCATCGTGTCTTCACACGCTGCAGAGAAGGGAGAAACGGGGGCCACACCTGCAAGAGAACGGCAGGAAGAGTCACGGGTCCAGAGCGACCAGCCACGCGGACTCAGCCCTTCCGACTCCTGCCACCCAGAGCCGGCGCGGCTGCATCCGGGCGCTTTAGGACAGATGTGTCTGCAGGAGGCTCCGCAGACACCTGCAACTGGCGACACATTTCCGTGTGTTTTAAAGAGAAAGGTCCCTTGTAGCCTTGCAGTGAAAGGGCTTCTTTTGGGGAAACCAAAGGGACAGGAACAAGAGGGAGCTGGTGCCCAGACGCACAGCCAGTCTCTGAAGAAAAGCGATGCCGAGAGACGGGCGTGACATCCTGAAGGAAGACGGGCAGGGAGGACAAAAAAGAACAAGCCAGTCACATGGCCGACCACACCAAACGCGCCCCCTGCCCACCCACCAGCACGCCCCGGGCCCACCACAGACGGGGACGGGGTGAGTGTGACCTGTGTCCTTGGACCGGCAGAAGCCACGATCCCAGCACTGAGCTGCGGGTGAGCCTCAATACAAGCTGCCACTCCATGGCAGATCCGTAAAGAGAACTGCTGTGGTTTCTCTGCACACCGGGCTCCCTTCTCTCACACTCCACGGGCTCCACCAGGAGCTCCTACTGATCTACCTTCGTGCAGCAGTTTCCCACCCTTGCTCCTCTCCACTGCCCCCACCTCATTCCTCCTCTATGTGCAGCAGGTCTCTAGCCTACACCCTCACCCCCCTGCAGTCTACACTCAACACAACAGCTAAGGTTGTTGTTCAATCACTAAGTCGTGTCCAGCTCTTTGTGACCCCATGGACTGCAGCATGCCAGGCTCCTCTGTCCTCCACTATCCCCTGGAGTTTGCTCATATTTACGCCCAGAGTCCGTGATGCTGTGTAACCATCTCATCCTCTGCCGCCCCCTCCTCCTCCTGCTTTCAGTCTCTCCCAGCATCAGGGTCTTTTCCAATGAGTCAGTTTTTTGCATCAGGTGGCCAAAGTACTGGAGTTTCAACTTCAACATCAGTCCTTCCAATGACCATTCAAGACTGATTTCCTTTAGGATGGACTGGTTGGATCTCCTTGCAGTCCAAGGGACTCTCAAGAGTCTTCTCCAGCACCACAGTTCAAAAGCACCAAATTTTTGGTGCTCAGCCTTCTTCATGGTCCAACTCTCACATCCATATACGACTACTGGAAAAACCATAGCTTTGACTATACGGACCTTTGTTGGCAAAGTGACATCTCTGCTTTTCAATACGCTGTCTAGGTTTGTCCTAGCTTACCTTCCAAGGAGCAGATGTCTTAATTTCACAGCTGCAGCCACTGTCCTCAGTGATTTTGAAGCCCAAGAAAATAAAGTCGGTCACTGCTTCCACTTTTTTCCCCCATCTATTTGCCAGGAAGTGATGGGCCCAGATGCCAAGATTTTTGCTTTTTGAATGCTGAGTTTTAAGCCAGTTTTTTCACTCTTATCTTTCACCTTCACCAACAGCCTCTTTAGTTCCTCTTCATTTTCTTTCATTAGAATGATAAGGATCCTCTTAATTTTTAAAATGTAACTCAAAAAACATTCCTCTGTCCAACACCCCGCAATGGCTCCATTCCACTCTGAGCAAATGCCGGCGTGTTCCTGGGGGCCTCAGCCCAGCACCCTGTCTCTGTGACCCCGCGCCTCCTGTTGCACACTCACTGCTCAAGACACACAAGGCTCCACACCAGGACAGTCTGTGCCGCCCACGGCACCCAATACCCTTGCCTGTCCGACCTTCCTCTTCCCAAAGTGCGTTCACCACCAAGTGTAATATACGTGGCATTCCTTGTCTGTCTCCACCAAGCGCTGGGAGCTCAGTGAAAGCAGGGACTTTGTCTTCCTAACAGACATCTCCCAAGCCCCTGGGACAGTGCTTGGCATGTGGTAGGTGCTCAACAGACGCTTGTTGGATGAATGAATTGATCCTGAATTGTTAAAACATTGTCTCACTCCACAGTGGCTTGAATTAGCTAAGCCTCAAAGCAGAAGAATTAATCCATGAACGAGAGCTCAAAAAATCAAGTCTTTATTGTCCTGTATCTGTTCAAGGGTACAACAGCAAGAACTCCAGAAAAGATGCCCTTTCGGGGAAAATAAGCATTAAACACAAAATCTTAAGTGATCTGAGGACATCCCTGACCGTCCAGTGGTTAAGAATCCTCCTTGCAATGCAGGGGATGCAGGTTCAATCCCTGGTCGGGGAATTAAGATCTCATGTGCCTTGTGATGTGACGAAAAATTAATACGATGAGGACAGGGCGCCATGAGACCAATGGCGAGGGACTGAACCTGTAAAATGTTTCTAAAGACAAGATTTTAAGCTGGGCCCTGCCAGAAAAGTAGAATTAACCCGTGAAAAATTAAACTAGTATTAAAGAAAACACAGAATAGTTGAGGAAAAGAAGACTGAGAGCAACAGCAAGGAAGAATCACTCAAAATAGGGCCAGCCAGGTAGGCACAAACCCAATCACATAAGACCCAAGGCCCCGCTGGGTACCCTGGGTGGGAGCTGCAGAAGGCTCAGGACCGAGCGAGGGAGAAGCTCGCGTGTTCAAACACCTGCTCTATCCTCGAATGGGAGGCTGGGCATAAAAGGTCGAGCACGAAGGCAGGCAACTGCCCAGGGCTCTGCCATGACCACAGGATGGGACTGTGGTCCTGACAAGTGGAAAGAGAGGAAGAGAGATATAGCCAATTCTGAGAAATGCTCAGAAGACAAAACCAAGAAACAGGCTCTCAGGAGGGGCAAACGGATGAAGACATCTGATTTGGGTGCCCGGACCTTGTCCCAGGGCCAAGGCATTAGGGAGGCGCGGGGCGCGGCAGGGCCACACGGGAGCACAGGCGTGGCCGGAGCCCCGTGGAGGGAAGCTCGGGCAAGCACCCCAGCATGAGCGCGGGGAGCTGGCAAGACAATGCAGCCAGATCTCAGAAGAAAGGTCTGCTCCCACCAGCGAAGCGCAGTGTCTGTGGAGGAGACACGATAACCGAGTCGGGAGAGCAAGGACGCGGAGCCAGAAAAGGCCGCGGGCGGGACCGAGAGCACGATTTCGAGCGCGCCGGTGCGGGACCGGCCCGCAGGGCAGAGGGCACGCTGGTGCGGGACAAGCCCACGGAGCGGAGGGTGCGCTGGTGCAGGACCGGCCTGCAGGGCAGGGGGCGCGCTGGTGCGGGATGAGCCTGCACGAGGCTCCAGGGCCTCCCCGCTCGTGGTGAGCACGGCATGCCACCAGCACCCAGACAGGAGACGAGGCCTCGGCTGCTCTCGGCCTCTGCGGATTCTGCAGCCCTCCACCGTCTTCCCTCAGAGCCCCGTGCCCTCCGCGGCCACCAGGGTGGAAGGGGCTCCCGGCGCCCACGTCACCACCCAGCCCACACACGCCACCGCTCTCCACAGACGGCTGGAGGAATCACCCCCTTGGCCTGTGTCTCCTCTGCTTCCTCCCGCCCCTCACCCTCAGCAAGTCTTCAAGGGGGCGCTCAGCGGAGGATACCGACCTGAGTACACGACTTCCGTCTGCCAGTAATTGAAAGCAGCAACCCAGGCCTCAAACCGATGGGCCTGCCACGTGACCACAGCCTGCAGTCCGGGCCCCGCCTCGCTGATCTTCAGGAGGTGGAGCTGCCCTTTGGAGTCGCTGCTAATGATTTTCAAGGGCTGGTCACTGGCCCTGGACACAGGGAACCAATGGAGAATCTGGCTGAAATCGATTCACGGCCCCAGACTCCTCACCTCTTGTGGTTCCTAAGCAGGGACACTTTATGCCCCCAAGACACAGCAGAGAGAGGCTCTCTAGGCGCTGGTATGTGAACAAGCCTCCTAAGAGGCTTGCCAGGGCAGAAACTGAAGCTGCCATGAGCTTGTCAAAATAAACTAGGGTTGCCTTCCCCCGGTGAAAACACGCCCCCTATTTCTTTCACGATAAAGACTGGCAGTGACACTCCCAGGCCTGAGAGCCGCAGTCACGGCCAGCAAGGTGGCTTTCCTTCTCTCTCTCACACGAAATAACCAAGACCTAGGCCCACCACCGCTGGCTCTCACCTTCCGGCTTTCCCAGTGGACCAGTCCAAGGACAAGGCCAGACACTGCTTTTCCAGGGCCAAGCGGGAGCAGGGCTGTAGTGCCCAAGTGTCCTGCTAGAGAGAAGGAAGCCGTCACAGGGGAACGAGCGGCCCCAGCCCCCCAAGGAGACCATGTCTACTCCGGCAGACATGTGTCCTCAGGCACCGCTGCAGAGCAGAGCCCGAGGACACTGCAGAACCAGCTCCTGCCCTCCAGGAGCCCTCACCGCCGCAGAGGGACCTGCCCACACCCGAGACCTCAGGGGAAGCAGGCCTCTCCGCTGCCCACGCCCTCCTGGAGGCTAGCGCAGCGCCCATGCAGCCTCTTGGAAGCACTGCTGCTGTGTGTGCCCATCGCCCAGGGCCTCCAGGGACAAGACAAAGGGAACTTTCCTCTGACTCGCTTCCACAGGACACAGCCAGCCATGGAAACGCCGTCTCTCTGGGCTTGACTCTATCTGCAGGGTCCCAGCAGCTGTGATCTCTCCTGGGTTTTCCTACTCCTGCCTCCAACTCTGGTTCTGAGCCCAGTCCTCCTCAGGTATTCCTGCCATCTCTCCTGAGATAGGGCTACTGTTCTCGGCAGGTCGGAAGCAAGGCCGTCCTCACCAGCGCTCACTGCCATGGACCCGAGGCCAGCTGGACCTGCTCCAAGGCCCACTAGCAGCACCTGCATCAGCGCCTCCCGCTCCACTCCCCTCGCCCGCTGAGTCAGGATGTGGTCAGGGCTACTTCTTCCACCTGTTCCCGTCCCCCAGCATGTGGGCACTTTACAAATGTGTGCCATGGGATTGCTGTCAGCTGCCTGGGGTACGACACAGAAGAATCACCACTAAGTCGCTCAGCCGTGTCCAACTCTTCGTGACTCCATGGAGTATAGTCTGCCAGGTTCCTGTCCATGGGACTGTCCAGGCAAGAAAATTGAAGTGGGTTGCCATGCCCTCCTCCAGGGGATCTTCCTGACCCAAGGATCGAACCCAGGTCTCCTGAATGGCAGGCGGGTTCCTTACTCACTGAGTCGTGTTTGGGGAGGCCCAGAGGAATCCTATGCTCTCTTAATTATCAATGATAAACACTTCAACCCAGAAAACTGCTCTTCCCAGCCCCAGCACCGTCAGCCCAGGAATGCTGGCCCAGGCATTCCTCACACGCTGTTCAGGTCCCGTCAGGTTAAAGGACCTGCCTGTCGCTTCAGCTCCTCCGCTAGTGACACGTAATGTGTCTTCCTCTTGGAGTTAGATGTAGAACCCATGAACTTAAAAAAGACTGTGTGCTACCTTAGAATGCTTCATGATAAAGTTCACCACTGAAGAGACCATCCTAGAAAAATGTTCGTCTCAGCGCAGCCTCCCTCCAGGTTCCTTGCACCCCTCACTAAGCCCGGCCCAGTCACTGACCTCAGATGGCACCAAGCGGAGGAGCTCTATGGACCCAGAAGCATCTGCCACGCCCAACAGGGGATGGCCGGCCACTGGAACGTGACACCTAGGAGAATGCACGTGCCAGTCAGAACACAGGATGTGCCCAGAGTACAGGGCAACAACAGGCACCCCCATGACTCTCTGTTACAGATTTCAGCTCCAAAACCAGTTTGGAGCCTACAGTTCTGTTCCTACAAGATCCTCCAGTTTATGAAGCAGAAAACCAGCACTGCTTCCCAGACAGACCGACGGTACCTGTACGGCTTGGAAACTGAAAAAGGAAATGAGCCCCAAGTTTACAGCAGCTTTCACAGGCGGGAAAGACAGGATAGGAAAGAAATGAACCCCAACTTCATTCAGATGCCTCCCTGTCTTGTTGAATGCTGCCAGGCATCAGGCTCCTCTTACTAAACAATCAGGTTTTCATGACAAATTCCAACCAAGGGGGACTGTTACCGAACATGTACCATTTCATGTCCAGGATCGCAGAAGTATCTCTTCTTTGGACTTCAACCAGGGGGCAAGGGGAGCTGTCCTCATTGCAACTATACAGGTAGAGACGACCCAAACGAATTGGAGGCTCGTCAACATCCAGTTCACTCTACAGAAAAAACCAGATGTGTTCTCTGAATACCTTAACAGATACTGAGGAGCCCAAAGGATGGGAAAAGGGGCAGGGAAAGAAGAGGTGTGCCAAGACTCGGGAACTCTCATTTTCTGAGCTGGAGAAACGTCTTTTCTTTTGTATGTGATTAACGAGTAGGTGGATTAGGATAGAATGCTTCTTCTAAACGGGCCAACAGAAAGGAGCTGCGGTTAGGATTCCCACGGGACAGTTTGCCTGCCTAGGACGGTCCCAGTGCCAGCTTTCACTCTTAAAAGTGCTTAGGTTTGTATCCACATAAGTGGATGCTTTCAAGGCATTAGGTAGAGCTCCTATGACATCCCCTTTTCTCTTTGCTCTAGACTTCACCCATAACCTGGGCCACGCCGGCAAACAGACGACATTCCGCTTTCAGGACGCCGTTCCTACCCTACATTCCGGCCACAGGCCAAGGTCGCGTCCACCCCATGTGGCTCCACACGAGATGTCTCCATTCCAGCCTCACCGCTGCAGACCAGAGAGGTCTTTACGCTAGCGGTCGGCTCTGCCTCTCAGGAGCCTCTCCTCGCCCTTCTCGAGAGGAGCTCACGTCTGGGACTCTAGCCGCTTGGGAACGGCCACCTGGGGTCGCAGACCGCCCGAGGCCCGAGGCCAGCGCACCTGGCTCTCCCGGTCGGCGGGCCGGTACTCCGGCTTCCACAGCTGGTAGGTGCCGCACGCCAGCAAGTGCCTGCAGCCCGGCAGCGGGCACCACTCCACCGAGTCCACGGTGTGCTCCGTGTCCACCGCCTGCAACAGCTGGACGCGGCCATCGGCCCCCGCGCGCCCGGAGGACGCGGCGGCGGCCGTGGTGGCGGGCAGCGCGCGGCAGAGACGGAGTAAGGTATCCACGTTGACAGCGCGGAGCGCCGGCGCTCTGCGACTGGGCCCGCCCAGGCGGGTGGACGGCACTGCTTCCACTTCCGCCGTCGACGCCAGGCCTCTTCCGGGGAGGGACTTCTTGCCCCACGGACGCCCCCACGAGTCCGCGCTCCCGCGCCCCCTGCTGGCCGGCGGACCTCAACCCGTCCCGCGTGCCCTGTGCGGCGGCGAGGCCGGCCTGGGACCGGGCACCCGAGCGTCCGGCACGGAGTCACCTGAGGGCTGGACTCTGAAAGGGGAGCAGAGGAAAGCAGGGCGTAGAGGTGGGTATGCCACGGGCCTGAGCCTTCGGGGAGCAGAGTCCAGGGTCTGACCCAAAGGGGCTGGGCACGGGCTGCCCTCCTCCCCCTGGTCATGTCCACCGCAGGGAGCTAAGCTGCCTGAGGGCAGTTAAGTGCAGCGCATCAGTGGACGCAGAAGTCCTGCCAGGACAGCAGAGAAAGGAGACAGGGTGGGCCCCAAGGCCCCAGGCCCCAACAGTGAGCAGGAAGGTAAACAGAGGACACGGAGAGGAGACAGCGTCTGTGCCCATTAGATATAGGATATAGAGGAGGGGGACCCAGCACACTCACTCTCTGACTTGGAAGACTGAGTTATGTGCTGGCACCATTCAACAAAGCCAGTGAACTCTACAGAACAAGTCTGGGGAAGGCACGTGTTAGATATTGTTATGAACTGAATGCAGTTATTGTTCAGTGGCTAAGTTGTGTCTCAGAGACCCTAGACCACAGCCCACCAGGATTCCCTGCCCTTCACTATCTCCCAGACTGAACTGTGTCCTCCCTCAAAGATATGCTGAAGTCTTATCTGCAACATCACAGAATGTGACCTTCGGAAACAGGGTCTTCACAGAAGCCATCCAGTTAAGATAAGGTCATTAGTGTACCCTTAATCCAGTATCACTGGCATCCTTAAGAGATGTGGTCTATTACAGACGCCCACAGGAGAAGCCTGTGAGGTATGTAGCCTCTACAAGGTAAGGACTGCCTGAGGCCCCTGGAAGCTGGGAGAGCCTGGAGCCTTCAGAGGGAGTACCGCCCTGCCCACAGCACGACCTGAGAGACTGGTGTGCAGGGCCCAGACCCTACACGGTTTCACGCCACCCAGCCTGTGTTCCTTTGTTACAGCAGCTGCAGGAAATGGTACAAGACCGAGGTCCACATGGGGACCTGGGCGGTCAGCCGGTGGTTTCTATGGCTAGAAAAAATCAGCTGTTCAGATGGCAGCTGAAGCAGAGTAGAAAGGTTGGTCAGGAAGCAGGAGGACACCCTGAAGTGGCTGAGCCACACACCTTGATCTAATCAGGTGCAAAAGACAGTCAGGCCAAGCAGCCCCCTGCCTCACTCCTAACAGGTAAGAGCCAGGAATGCTGAACTTTCAGTCGCTCTCAGATGTGTGGCTACAGAAGTCAAGAGGGCGGGGCCATCAGCAGAGCAGAGCCAGGGGCCAGACATCCAATAAAGGACAGGGGAAGCAAGGGGATACAGACAGTCTGCGGGCCCCGGGGCACCTTCCCGGGGCAGCCGCTCCAAAGGCCTTGGCAGTGAGAGCAAGCCCTCAGCCCCACAGCCACCCTCTCAGCTCCCCCCAGGGCCCTGCACCAGCCCAGACTCAGAGTCTAAGCAGCAGCACAAAGACACAGCACCGCCAGCAGGGGACAGCCGCCAGCTATGGCCCCACTCCTGCAGCCACAGTCGACAGCGAGCCCCAGGGCATGGCTACTCCAGGTGAGCCAGGAGTCACAGCAACAAGCACCCGAGGTCAGCACACAGTGTGACGTCCTCCAGGCCAGCGGAGACTCCAACACTTCCATTCCAGTGGAATTTTCTGAGGACTAGCTAACCACAGGGGAGTCAGTGCTGGTCGGGGAACATAGGCCGGCTGGAGGGCCAAGCTGGCCACTCCCCAAAGGACACAAGGCAGGACACACAGCCTGCAGGCTGGGGCGGGCGCTCATCCCAGGAGCCTGGATCTGAAGATGAACCGAGCACATGTGGCCCCAGATCCCAGAACACTGGCCTGCACAGCACTCCCCAAGCCTGTGCCCTGGCCAGAGCTGACCTCAGGCCAGCTGTGATCTGCAGGACTGCCTCTTAGAATCACATATATCCTCTTCCCCGATGGTTTTCTAAGCCCCCTGGCGGTCTGGGGGCACCTAGAGCAGACCCCCTTGCAGCAAAGACTTGAACTTGGCTGACCTCCACATCAGCTAAGTCTTCTCAGCAAAAACCCGTGGGCACGTGGGGTCCCTTCCCCTGAAGGAAAGCCCTGCCTCAGGGTTGGGACTGAGGTGCCCGCCTGCTCCCCACATGTTGCTAGCACCCATCTCCCCAGTCCTGTTCTTCAGACACACTGTCCAAGAAGCCTCCAAGTTCTGAAAGGCAGCCACGGAAAGTTCAGCTCACAGACCAAAGGCCACCCAGGGCTGGCCCCAGTCAGGGAGGCACACGCAGGGTGTCCCAGGAGACAGCGGGGAGCCTGTGGGGCCACGTGGGGCCGGGGGCGAGCCAGGATGGTCCAGGGTCCCAGCCACAGCCGCGTGTGGCCCCTGGGGGGCTCAGCAAGGTGTACAGGACGCTGGGGGCCCAGGCCAGCTCCAAGTCACGGGGGCCCCCGCCCTGAGCCCCCAGGAGTGTGGGTGACAGCGGCGGCCCCTGCCGGGCCCAGATGGGCCAGTGTCTCCTCCCTCCCGCCGCCCAGGCTCAGGGCGGAGTGCAGCCTCACCATCTGTGGCCGCAGACGCCGCCTGAGGCAGAGAGCAGAGCGCGGCCAGGGTGCGGGCGGCCCCACTTTACTGTGCCTGCTGCCCCCCCCGCCCGCCTCAGCCCAGCCGCCCAGTGAGCGTTACAGCAAACGACCCAATTTGTACTTCTGAACCCTCCCGCCGCCTCCCCCCCAAAAAACTGTACATGAGTTTACAAACATATTAACATATAAATAATGAGAAGCGTCCAGCAAGCCCTCCCAGCTGTCTCTGCTCCGGGGGAGCCTCTGGCTGCCGGGCGGGGGCAGGAGCCAGTGCAGGGCGACCCCCAGGCCCGCCGCCGCCGCCGCCGGGGAGCCGGGAGCCGCGCGGCCGCCACGTCATCGCTCAGGCTCCAGCTCATGCGGGAAGGGGCGCCGCTTCTCGCGGCAGTGCTTCTTGTGGGCCGGCCAGTCCTTCTGCTGGCACTGAGAGCCACAGTAGCGTGCCACCTGGCAGCGTCCGCAGATGTTGAACTCCCGGAGCTGAAAGGACACAGAAGAGCCCACTCCGGTCACATGCGGACCCGGGGGGCCCGGCCGCCTGAGCTGCAGCTGGAGGGCCTGGCTGCGGCCGGGCAGCCCCCAGGGGAGAAGCGCAGCCCCGGGTGGCGGCCTGCACGCACCTGCTTCTCAATCATGGTGCAGGGAGGGTAGTGGCACTCGTAGTAGGTGCAGGACGTCTCCTCCTCCTCCACGACGTCCCCGTTGGCGTTGTAGTACCGCGTCACGTTCAGCACCGGGAACTGCTCCTCTATGGGGTCGGTGGGCAGCTGCTGAATGGCCAGCCAGTATAAGCTTTGCTCCCTTAACCAAAGAAACAGCGTTTCAGGTCACCTCAGCCAGAAAGGGGCAAGGCACGGAGGTAACAGTAGGTGACCCCAGGGTGGACCAGCTGCCTCCCCTTCGCAGGATACCCCCTCCCCAACAGTGACCAACAGTCTGACTGTCCTTTGGCCCACTGGTTGCATGGGCTCCCCTCCCCATAACACCCAGGATTCAGCCTGTTTCTCTTCTCACTAAAAGGCACAGGGAGGGCTGTGTACGTCTTGCCCCTTGGTCTTCCCAACACCATGACAGCCAGGCACACGACGGGCATGGAGACCGCATGGTCTCGGCCCCAGGCTCAGCCAGCCTGGGCAGCACCAGGCCACCTCCCTTCCTGCTCGTAGGCCCAGAGGTGCTCAAATCTGCCCCCGGAGAGATCTGGGGATCTGGAGGACCCACCCTCTAGGTGCTGCAGTTGCTCGCCATCCTCCCGACTGCTTCTCTGCCTGGACAGGGCCAGAAGCTCATACATGCCCACACCTGCCCCACCACCACAGGTACAGGTGGACGGGGCAAACCCGAAGCAAGGAGCAGCCCACCCCTGGGGCTGGCCTTCAAAGGAGGTACCTGCTGCCCCGCAAGAGCAATGGGGTGGGTGGTCCATGCCCTCCAACCTGCCTGCTGTCTCTGGAGGCCAGGCCGAGAGGGACTTGACTAAAAATGGAAGGGTCTGGCACAGCACTGGCAATCTGCCCCACATGCTGCTCAGCAGTGTCCGACTCTGCGACCCCACAGACTACAGCCCGCCAGGCTCCTCTGTCCCTGGGAGTCTCCAGGCAAGAGCACTGGAGTGGGCTGCCAGGCCCTCCTCCAGCGAGTCTTCCCGACCCGGGACTGAGGGATGAGCCTAAGTCTCCTGCGCTGGCAGGCGGCTTCTCTACCACTGAGCCGCCTCAGCAATCTGCTGTGCTTCACTGGAGAAGAGTGAAAACAAGGCCTAAAGCTAACACGCCAAGCGAAACTCTCAGAGAAAACACAGCACAGAGGCCTCACAGCATCAGATATGGCAGTGATCTTGGATATAACAGCAAAGGCACAGTAACAAAAGAAAAAAAAGATTTTTGTGAAAAAAGATATGAAAATTCAAGTATTTTGTCCATCAAAAGAAACAGCAGAAGAAGAAGACAATCTATAGAATGGGAGAAAACATTTGCAAAGCATGTATCTGATAAGGGATTCATACAAAGAATAAAGAACTCTGCAGCTCAACTAAAAAACAAACCAGCAAGTTTTGAACAGAGATTTCTCTGAAGAAGACACACACAGGGCCAAAAAGCACATGAAACGATGCTCAACGTCACTGGTCATCAGGAAGACACAACTCAAAACTGCAGTGGGACCACCGCGCACTCCTGGGATGGCTGCTATCAAACCAACAGAGACCACCACATGCTGGCGAGGACGTGGGGACCCTGGGACCTCCGGGCACCGTGGGAGCAGGCAGAACACGCTGACGCCACGGACGACAGCATGGAGGCTCCTCACAGGCTGAACAGAGCTGGCAGAGGATCCTGCAATCCCACTTCTGGGCGCACTCTCAGGAACCGAAAGCAGAGACCAGAAGAGCTCTTTGTACAACTGGGTTCACAGCAGATGAGGGAGGAGGCAGCCCAAGTGCCTGACGATGGAAAGTGGATAAACCAAGTGTGCTGTACACATACACACGTGCTTTCCGAGCTCTTCAGTGAGGTCCTAGAAGACCGAGAGGAGGGGAGGTTTAGCCCCAGCCAGCGTTTGAAGACGGGAAGGGAGGAAACTGCCCCTTTGCTCAGAGCACCTTCCGCCTGGCTGGGCCACCCCGTGCCCACTGGGGTGAGGCCGGGACAGCAAGCAGGGGTGCGGGCCTGGCAGGTGTGTGCTGGGACCCCCCACTCACAGGGGCTGATTCCCACCATGAGCCACCGGGCAGAGGTCACGGATGAGACGGGAGGACATGTGATGCTGCATGACGGGGAGCTCAGGCTGCCCTCGGGACGCCCAGCACGTGCAGGACTGTGGACAGGCTGACCACTGCGGGCAAGCCACAGCAACCCCGACCAGCTGGCTCCTGGGATGACCAACAGTGAGGGACCTTGGGGCAGGGCCCCAGACCAGTGTAAAGCAGAATGGGGCCGTCCCTCCAGTGATTGCAGTGGTCAGTGGCAGAGCCGGCCCAGGTCCACCCTGGTCTCGTGCGAGTGCTGAGCCACCAGCCTGCTGACCGCTCAGCCACCCCTATACTTGTCCTGATGACACAGCCTTCTGTTTTGGGGTGATCTTTTTTTTGCTGTGCCATGCAACCTGTGGACAGGAATAGGTGAATTTAATTCAGATGACCATTATATCTACTACTGTGGGCAAGAATCTCTTAGAAGAAATGGAGTAGCCCTCACAGTCAACGAAAGTCCAAAACGCAGTACTTGGGTACAACCTCAGAAACGACAGAATGATTACAGTTCGTTTCCAAGGGAAACCACTCAATATCACAGTAATAATAATCAAGTCTATGCCCCAACCAGTAACACTGAAGAACCTGAATTTGAACAGTTCTAGGAAGACCTACAAGACCTTCTAGAACTAACACCAAAAAAAAAAAAGATGTCCTTTTTATCATAGAGGATTGGAGTGCTAAAGTGGAAAGTCAAGAGATTCCTGGAGTAACAGGCAAGTTTGGCCTTGGAGTACAGAATGAAACAGGGCAAAGGCCAACAAGAGTTTTGCCAAGAGAACGCACTTGTCACAGCAAACACCCTCCTCCAACAACGTAAGAGACTACTCTACACATGGACATCACCAGATGGTCAATACTGAAATCAGACTGATTATAGTCTTTGCAGCCAAAGATGGAGAAGCTCTATCCAGTCAGCAAAAACAAGACGGGGAGCTGACTGTGGCTCAGATCATGAGCTCCTTATTGCCAAATTCAGGCTTAAATTGTAGAAAGTGGGGAAAACCACTAGACCATTCAGGTATGACCTAAATCAAACCCTTTATGATAATACAGTGGAAATGAGAAATAGATTCAAGGAGTTAGAGCTGACAGACAGAGTGCCTGAAGAACTATGGACGGAGGCCTGTCACATTGTGCAGAAAGCAGTGACTAAAACCATCCCCAAGAAAGAGAAATGCAGGAAGGCAAAACGGTTGTCTGAGGAAGGCTTACAAATAGTTGAGAAAAGAAGAGAAGTGAAAGGCAAAGGAAAAAGATATACCCAACTGAAAGTAGAGTTCCAGAGAAAAGCAAGGACAGACAAGAAAGCCTTCTTAAATGAACAATGCAAAGAAACAGAGGAAAAAAACACAACGGGAAAGACTAGAGAGCTAGTTAAGAAAACTGGAGATACCAAGGGGACATTTCATGTAAGGATGGGCACAATAAAGGACAGAAATGTCAAGGGCCCAACAGAAGCATAAGAGATTAAGAGGCTGCAAGAATACACAGAACTACACAAAAAAGATCTTCACGACCCAGATAATCACGATGGTGTGATCACTCACCCAGAGCCAGACATCCTGGAGTGCAAAGTTAAATGGGCCTTAGGAAGCATCACGACGAACAAAGCTAGTGAAAGTGATAGAATCTCAGCTGAGCTATTCCAGGTCCTAAGAGATGATGCTGTTAAAGTGCTGCACTCAATATGCCAGCAAAGTTTGAAAACTTAACAGTGGCCACAGGACTGGAAAAGGTCAGTTTTCATTCCAATCTCAAAGAAAGGCAGTGCCAAAGAATATTCAAACTATCATACAATTGCACTCATTTCCCAGGCTAGCAAGGTAATGCTCAAAATCCTTCAAGCGAGGCAACAGTACATGAACTGAGAATTGCCAGATGTTCAAGGTGGATTTAGAAAAGGCAGAGGAACCAGAGATCAAATTGTCAGCATCCGCTGGATCATACAAAAAGCAAAGGAACTCCAGACAAATATCTACTTCTGCTTCACTGACTAAAGCTAAAGCCTTTGACTGTGTGGATCACAACAAATGGGCAAATTCTTCAAGAGATGGAAATACCAGACCACCTGACCTGCCTCCTAAGAAACCTGTATGCTGATCAAGAAGCAACAGTTAGAACCAGACATGGAACAACAGACTGTTTCCAAATTGAGGAAGGAGTATGTCAAGGCTGTATATTGTCACCCTGCTTATTTAACTTATATGCAGAGTACGTCATGTGAAATGCCGGGCTGGATGAAGCACAAGCTGGAATCAAGATTGCCGGGAGAAATATCAATAACCTCAGATAGGCAGATGACACCACTCTAATGGTAGAAAACAAAGAACTAAACAGTCTCTTGATGAAAGTGAAAGAGGAGAGTGAAAAGGCTGGCTTAAAAGTCAACACTGACAAAACTAAGATCATGGCATCCGGTTCCATCATTTCATGGCAAATAGAAGGGGAAAAGAGTGGAAGCAGTAACAGGTTTTATTTTCTTGGGCTCCAAAACCACTGCCAACGGTGGCTGCAGCCACAGAAGTAAAAGATGCTTACTTCCTGGAAGAAAAGCTATGACAAACCTAGAAAGCATATTCAAAAGCAGAGACATGACTTTGCCACCAAAGGTCTGTAGTCAAAGTTACGGTTTGAAAAATTGATGATTTTGAACTGTGGTGCAGAAGAAGACTCTTGAGAGTCCCTTGGAAAGCAAGGAGATCAAACAGTTAATCCTAAAGGAAGTCAGTCCTGAATATTCATTGGAAGGACTGACGCTGAAGGTGAAACTCCAATACTTTGGCCACCTGATGCAAAGAGCCAACTCAATGGAAAAGACTCCAATGCTGGGAAAGATTGAGGGCAGGAGAAGGGGGTGACAGAGGATGAGATGGTTGGATGGCATCACCAACTCAATGCACATGAGTTTGAACAAACTCCGGGAGACAGTGGAAGACTGAGGAGCCTGGCGTGCTGCAGTCCGTGGGATTGCAGAGTCACACAGGACTTAGTGATTGAACAAGAACGCAACCTGTGGGTTCTAAGTTCCCCAACCAGGGTTCAAACCTGGGCCCCCAGCAGCTAAAGTGCCAAGTCCTAACCACTGGATCACCAGAGAATTCCCCAACCTTCCTTTTTGTTGATCAAAGAACCGTCCTATCCCCAGCAGAGCAGATAAGTGCTTCAAAACTAGCAAACTCCTCAGTGCCACTGATCACTGCTGAGGAGCCCGCGTGCGGCCCCGGCGGCCGCTCCGGAGAACTCCAGTTGGCTTTGTGGCTTGCCACATCTCAGCAGGGGAGCGAACAAGGGTCCTATTTTTGCTTCAGCTAAATTGGGCTCAGTTTCTGTCACTTGCAACCACAAGTCTAGACTACCATAATCCCCAGAAGGATAAGAATCCTAACTAACTGTCATGAGGCTCAGCCTCCTTCGAGAGACGTGTGAGGGCACCTTAGACAGGATCAGACTCTAACACTGGAGTCTGGACCAAGGAGAGGTGAAGGCTGCCCAGCTGACCTCTGAGCCACTGTCCTGCTTCCATGAGAGCAGGACAAGACCCGACTGTGTGCACAGGGGCGCTCCCGAGACAGGGACGCCTGCTGCATCTCCGGGCGATCTGCCCACCTACACAGGACCAGACAGACCCCACAACCCGTCCCCCATGAGAGCCAATTCAGAAGACTGACCCAGAAAAACAATCATCAGGACGTTCTCCTCCCCCAGTGAAGAGGAACCCCACACCTTGAGGGGAGATGACCAGCATTCCCAAACCCACAGAAGCCTCAGAGCACAGAGCCGACCCAACCCCTCTCAGCAGTAAGCTTGAAGGGGCCACGTCGCCAGGCCCCAAGAAGACCCACCTCTGCTTGCTGGAGGTCTCCTCGGCTCTGGGCCGCCAGCCCCACGGCACCAGCTGCAGGTTGTCCAGGCGATTGTCCACAGTGACGGCGTTGAGATGCACCACCTGAAACCCAGGGGCAATGCCTCCCCTGTGCCGCTCCCTAGGAAACAGTGTTCCAGACAGGCTCCCTGACCTCCATGTGCCCTGAAGAGTCCTCAGCACATCCATGTGGCCCGTCGGGAGCACGGCTGCTGAGGGGAACCCAAGTCTGCCAGTCTGTGGCCCAAAGGGGACAGCGCAGCCCCAGGACTTAAGTGCTAGGCTGCAGGGAGCCAAGGACGGAACCCCAAACCATCTCACACACAGCCTGGGGGACACCCCTGAGTGGCCCCAAGTACTTCAGAACCTCAGCATTCACACAGAAGAGAGAACGGCCCTTCCCTATGTCCCACCGACAAGCTCAAAAGGGCCTAAGAGGGGCCAGACCCCACCCGCCTCCAGAGGCGCCATGGTCTGAGTGCTCAGAGCAGGAAGGGCACACGGCCTGACTCTCAGGCCAGCCCGCCAGGGCCAGAGGACATAAAGCAGCCATCCTCCCAGTTAGTAGCAATGACAAAGAAGTAACTAGGAGACCTGGGGAAGGTACCATCTGTCGATGAGGGCAGAAGGGTCTCTGGCTGCCCAAGTCCCTTGCACTGCAGGGCTGGTGCAAACCCAGAAGGGGAATATGCAGCTTGGAAACACCCACCACAGCAGCTCATGAAGGAGCCTTCCTGACCCCCTTCCTCGGTTTTTGTCAAAGGCGTATGCAAATATCTTAGCACCATTTCCATCTGCGTCTACTTCCATCCGGGCCTGAGAAGAAACAAGAAAAAGCTCTGTTAAAAAGCCTGCAATTCTCAACAACATTCCAAATTCCTCTTAGAAAAATGATTGAAACAAACAAGCCAGAGGGATAAATGCCAGGCCTATTCCCGGGACCCTGGTGGTGTCTGGAGGAATCCAGACACGTGGCATGGAGAAGTACCTGCCTACATGAAGGCAAAACACACTTAAGAACCACTCTTTGCAAAATACTGTGGACGTGGATACAGAGAAATACATCTCCCTACCCCTAAAAAAAGGTCCCTAATCCAGTAAAAAAGATAAGCCCTGGAACAAGTAAGTGTAAAAGGGTGAAGGCTGAGATAGGAGTGGGGTGGGTCCGCAGGGTGGAGGGAGGAGCAGGCAGGTGAGGACTGGAGCCCAAACAGCTTCGCCAGGTAGGAACAAAGGCACTTGGCTCTGTGGGAGGCCGAGGCTGAAGAGAAGGTGGGGCGGCCCTGGACAGTCTCCCTGGGCACAGCAGCTTATCCGACTGAACTCAATCACAGACCTGGCACAATTTGACTCTTTTTTGGGAAGAGCCTGCAAGCAACATGGAAGTGAGTAAGAGAGCAAGCATCAAAGAGGTGGTGGGGGTGCTCCACACTGACAGCCAGGTTCCCTGGAGACCAGGGTTCTGGACAGAGCTTCACCAGCCTGCTTGAGCAGCTCACGTGCAAGGGCTTGCCTCACATCACAGGGACGAAAACCCACCCCTCATGACCCTTCTGGGCACGATCGTGGGCAGGCCAGCAAAGGAACAGAATCCTTACCTCAAACGAGTAGCCCTCCACCAGCGGGATGTCTTGCTCGTCTATCAGTGTATACTTGGTCTGGAAATTAACGTTTCAAGACATTACATTTGGAATCAGCACAAAGCACTAATGATAAGCAGGAGTAGCCCTTTGGGCTCAGAGAGGTAAATCCACGCTGAAGGCAGGCAGATGTGCCAAAGGCTGCTCCTTCCCCACTCAGCACGGCGCACACTTGTGGCACCAGGCTCCACCTGTCAGCTGCTCACGACTAGCCATGAGAAGTGCCACAGAACTGCTCAACCACTAAGCTATGTGTTTCAATGTGTTGATAAACCCAGTCCAAGACCACGATGTCACAGAAAGAGGCAGGGCCCTGGGACTGAAGCAGAATATCCAGAAGGTTTCAACTATCAGGCAGTCCGCACACAGGTGCTCACGGAATTGTTCTTCCTATCTCTTCCTCTAAAACGTTCCAAGTAAAAGTTTTAAAGGATGGCATTACTGCAAATGACCACTGAGTTGCAGAGATCTCAGCGCTAATAAGGAGCCCACCCCTTCGTAGTTAGAAAGTCACTGCCCCTTGCGGGAGGGCAGGAAGCGGTCCCCGAAATGAACCAGTCTCACTTTCGCTTGGAGAGCTTTTTACTAGCATCTGAACCGGCTTTATCTTCATCTGACTGCCTCTGCTCCTCTCTCCCACCAGAAGCTTCGGCCGCTGGTGATGGGAACAGGGTTCCCATCCAGGGTAAGGTCCGTGGCTGGTTCAGCTGCACGGCCGGCCGGCTCCTGGAAACAGCCAAGCCTCAATGCCCACAGGTGCCAGGAAGCCCCAGCCTCGAACACGCGGAGGGCGGGGCCCGGTAAGGGAGAGAAGCAGAGGGAGGCCCCACTCGGCCGAGGCCAAGTGAGGCTCAGTCCGACGGGGCCGCCGCGAGCAGCCCGAGCCCTGCTCGAAGCTCACTACGGACCCTCAGGGGCCAGCGGAGAGCGAGCGCGCTGCCCCGGAAGGGCCTGCGCTCCTCGCGGCCGCAGGCACAGCCGCAGCCCCCGACCCACGGCGCACGGCCGGAGCCGGCACTGGACCAAGGCCGCCCCAGGCACCAGGCCGCCGGCGAAGCTTCGGGCCTGTGCCCGTGTGCCCCGCCGCCCTGGCCGGGCCCTGCGCCCTCAGCCTCGCACCCCCGACTCCGACTCCCAGACGGCGCCCGCGACCCCCAGCGCTGCTCAGCCCCTAGCCTCACAGCAGCCCCGGCCCTCGGCCCCGGCCCGGCGCACCACGCCTCCCGCCCAGCCCCGGCCCCAAGCCGCGCCGCGCACCTTTCCGGCCACCCGGCCGAGCCGCACGATGCCCAATTTGAAGTCGGTCATGGCCGGGCCTGCGCTCGGCCGGCGGCGCCGCTCCCTCGGGAGGTGCCGGGGCGGGGCCACGGCGCGCCGGGCGGGCGAGTGGGGGCCGGGAACGGGGCCAGGCGGGCGGGCGGGCGGGACGAGGCTGGGCCGGGGTCGGGCCGCCGCCGCCGGGCGCCCGCCGGACCTGCCACGCGCCGCCGCCGCCGCCGCCACCGCCGCCGCGCGCACCTCAGCGAGCGGGGCCGGGGGCGGGGCGCGCGGCGGACACACCCCCGCTCGCCGCCACTCGGCCAATCGCGCGGCGCGCAGGGCGCCGGCCGGCGCGCGCCGCCACGCCGCAGCCAGTGGCGGGAGAGCGAGTGCGCAGGCGCGCTGGGGCGCCGCGAGCGCGCGGGGGAGGGGCGCGGCCGGGGGCGGAGCCTGCTCAGCCGCCCCGCGCTACGTCAGTTTCGCGGGAAGCTTTGTGCCGGAGGCAGCGCCACCCGCTAGCAGCGCAGACCCCTGAGCTCGGCCTCGGCCCGCGCAGCGGGCGGTTTGGCTGGGCACCCTGGGCCGTACGGGCCCTGCAGGTCGGGGTCCGTGCGGGGCTGGCTGCGGCTCCCTGTGAATAGTCCGTGGACAGAGAGCAGGAGGCCGGGATGGATTTGCGGATCCGGAGTCCCGGGGCCCCTATGACTGCGTGGCTGGATCCAGTGCCCTAGGGACGTGGGAACCCAGTGAGCGCTGCTGGCTGACCGGGCACCGGGCCGCCCTTCTCCCTGGCCGCCTCCGCGCATGGGCCGGGATCAGGATCCCATAGCCCATGCTTGTGCTACACGATCCTTCCCTGGGCTTCGAGAAGGAGCGCAGAAAACCCTGCTCCAAATCCTTCCCGAACAGGAACTCCCAGACCTGGCGATTCGGGGGGGGGGGGGGGCGGGGCGGGGCGTATACCTGTCTCCTGGCAACCACTCCATCTGGCCCTCACCCCCAGCCCCCAATGAAACCGCTCTACACCAGTGCGCCAAGCAAACTGGAAACCCCTCCCTGCTCCTGTTCTAGCGAGGGAGACAGAAAAGGCCAATGACCAGCGAGTCACACGCCTTGTTAGAAAGTGATCAACACCGTGGGGAAACAAGTAGATCAGCATTAGGGAGTTGGAGGTCCGGGGAAAGTGGGGGCAAGTTAGATCTCACTGCCAAGTAACTTGAGCAAACTGAGAGGGAGCGAGGGAGTGAGCCACGTGGGCTCCAGGGGAAGAGCATCCCCAGCAGAGGGAAGAGCCCAGTACCGAGGCCCTAATCTGGCATTTTTGAAAAGTGGAGGTGGTCTCTGTGAGCTGATGAGTGCATCAGAGCAACAGGGTACATAGCCAGAGAGGTGGAGGTTGGGAAGGATGTATGGTCTGGTGAGGACTGTGACTTTTACACTCAGAAAAGTGAGCCATTGGAGGATTGGAAAGGAGGAATAGCTTTTTAGTGCATCATGGCAGCTGATGCAGACAGTGAGGGAAGGGTGGAAGCAGGCAGGATGTTTAGGAAGCTAATGCAAACTTACCCAACTAAGAAATGATGGTGTTCGGGACACCTCTGATGGCAGTGTTTTGTAGCAGTCGGGATAGCCCTGGTTATGCTGCAGTAACAAACAATCCTAAATTCTCAGTGGCTTAGCAAGATAAAAATATATTTCTTCCTCATGCTAGAGGTTAGGGTTATAAGGCAATTGAATACATGAGTATAGATTGGTGTTCACTAGCGTATTTGTTGTACTTAAAGCCATACAACTGGATGAGTTCACCATGGGAGGAAATGCAAGTAGAGAAAAAGAGAGGGAAAAGATTGAGCCCTGGGTATTCTCATCCTAAGGGGTAAGGGAGGCTGGGAGGAGGAGCTGGTACAGAGAATGAGGATGCCAGGTAGGAGGGAAGCCAGGGGAGGGCAGTGGGCCAAGCGATGACAGTGATAGGCTGAGAAGGAGAGATCGGCCTTGCCCAGTGCTGCCGAGAGATCCCAGGTGGCGGGCACAGAGCGCACCAAAGGGTGCTGGCCACCTTAACAAGTACATAACGGAGGAGTAAGCCCGACCGAGGGGGCTGAGGGGGAGCGGAAGGGAAGGCCTCGGGCGACTGCTCTTCTAGGGTGTTCTGGCTGAAAGGAAGCAGAGAAACGACCAGAGCAAGAAAGAAAAGGCAGGCCCGGAGAAACTGCTGGTTTTATGGTGGGAAAGGAAACAGCATGTTTTCCGCCAGTGGGAATGAGCCCGTGGAGGAGAGAGAGGTGAGCCATCGCCTGAGGGCTGGCCTGGGACTGCTCGGCTCCAGCTCAGCCACAGCTCCAAGGGGCGTCTGAGGCTAGGGGCTTTGGATGTAGGAAGCTGGAGTTCTCCTCTGATGAGAAGGAGGCCATCAGTTGAAGGTAAGAAGGGAGCTGGTCCCAGGAGAGAGGACAAGGATGGAGCTAGGAGAAGACGACAGGGGGCTCAGCAATGTCAGCTGCCCAGCGTTTCTCCAGCCTATTTAGGCTGCTCCTGAGAGAGCAAGGCGAAAGAAGGCTCAGGTGATCCCGGGCGAGTGTGGAGAGGTGACGGGGACAGAGGGAAACGTCTAAGAGAGTCTGGTCCCCGTGCTTGCCCGGGGCACTCAGGGGGCTTCGGAGGATCGCTGATCGAGGGGGTGAGCAAAGACGGAAAGGGATTCAGAGCCTCTCGGACTTGCGAGGGGCTACAGGTGCTGGGGACGCTCGGGTCTCTGTGATCTGCTGTTGTGTGACAACCCCCCACCCCCGACCACACTTCATGGCTTCCAACCACATCAGCTTGTTATTTTACACAATTGTGTGACTAACAGGGGATCTTCTGTCCCACCCAGTGTCAGCGGGCCCCTCCTTCATTTGGAGTCAGCTGAGAATTCACCTGGAGCACATTTTCTTCCATGTGACCTGCCCTGGGTGGGGTGTCCTGTTATTTAGCCAGGAGAGCTGGACCGCTCACCCCGTGGAGGCTCTCCTCTATGTGACAGGTCCTATTGGACCTCTGCTTGAATCTCTCTTGCTAGTATCCCGCTGTCCACAGCAAGCCCTGCAGGCAGGCCTGGAATCCGTGTGGGAGGGGTGCGCACAGCAGCACGAGTTCTGGAAACCACAGCTTATGGCGGGGCGGGCACCAGTGGCACAACCTGCCTGCCACCCATCCACACTCTGGCCCCTAACGATTCAAGTTCCTCCGGCATGAAGACCCCAGAACCACACCTCACTTCTGCTCTTGGCTTATGACATGCAGCAAAGCCAGAAGCAAGTTATCTGTCCCTGCAACACCCACATTCCATGGGGAAGCACAGGAAAAGTAAATAGACACCCGGTTCAGAAAGGAAAAGAGGGACGTACCCTCTGTAGCCACGGGCACTGGGCAGGGTTGAAATGCAGCAGACGCTGTCACAATGCTCCTTTAACGGCTCCTGTGCTCTGGCGAGTGATTCCCCTCCCCCCCCTTCCCAGGTGGGCTTCTCCCTCTGCCTCTTGGCCCTGCCCCTCAGTCATCCTCGCTTTTCCACGGGGAAATGTTTGCAGCCTAAGTAGCTTCCTCAGCCTGCTTCTTTCCTGGAGAAAGTTGAGGGCCAAGAAGCATCTTTTATTTTGAATATCATCCATTTTAATTAAAACAGATACAACCGTTAAAAAAAAAACTGCAGATTTTCTAGGTATCAAATTATAACACGTTTTGTTAGACAAAAGCCACCCGGCAAATATCTTTGAGAGGCTCCTCTCTGCTGTGAACGTCAAGGTCGCGCCGTGTGCTCAATACCTCCAGATGCTTGGAAGCCCTTTCCTGTGGCTCAGAGCATCTGTGAGGGTCCCCTCCCCGGGATCTTTCAGCAATTTTAACAAAGGGTCATATACCACGCCCTTGATTTCTTCTAACCCTGAAGTTGTGTTTTGCTGGCAGTGCCCTGGATTTAATCTTCCGCAGCATGCCATGTCTTACCTTGAGGACCTTTGCTGCCTGGAAAGACTGGGATTGAGAAATAATTTTATTTTCCAATTGTAAGACCTGACTTGAAATATTTCCTCCAGCTTCTGGTGGGACATGGAACATTACTTGTTAACTTGATTTGTCTTTGCTTTGTTTTACTTTAGCATAAATGACTGAAAGAAACCGTCGGCCCCTGTCTTCCCTGCTACCACAGCCGGTGGTCTTCCACTTCCCCACGGGTCCCTACCCAGCCCTGCCCTTCTCTGTCCTTCACTGGTGATGGATGTCCTCACCCCCTGCCAGGTTCGCCTGCTGCCTGGCTCCAAAGAGTCACATTTCAGAATGTTGTGATTGGCAGCATCTCACTTCTAAGTGTCAGTGTCTGGTCCGATTTGTGCTGCTGCATAATAAACAACCCCAAAACTCAGTGGCTTAAAACAGCTATTGATTTTCTAGTGACTCCATGGTGAGATTGGGTTCTGCTGGTTGACTCTCCTGCTGATGGCTGGTGTGCCCGTTTGTCTCAAACTGTCACCATTAATTCAGTTCTTTCTCTCCAATACCAATCCTATGATTGTTTCTTTCTTTTTTTTTTTTGGTGGGGGCAGGGGGGCAGCGCTCTGACTCACAGCTTATGGAATCTTAGTTCCCCAACCAGGGATTGAACCCCAGCGAGTGATCTCCCTCTTCTGACTGTTTTGACACACATAAACTGGTAGAAAGTTCTGGGACTTCAGAGGCCAGGTCTGAGGACAGGCAGCTTCATCGTCCTCTTGGGGGCCTGCCCACAGGTAATCAGTCTCACTACCTGGAAATCCTCATTCTGTGCAGACACCAAAGCAAATCATATGGGGAGGCCTCAGGGAAGGGGAACCTGACCAGCCCCCTGCCATCCCAGCCACACAGGTCAAGCTGTCAGACACCAGCAAAAAGAACATCTAGGACATTCTAACCTGGACAGATACCACACAAAATAGAAGAGCCTTTTGGCTGAATGCAACCTAGTTCTCAGTTCGTTCAGTTGCTCAGTTGTGTCCGACTCTTTGGGACCACATGGACTGCAGCACGCCAGG